AAAGGCAATAATCAATTATTAACACGTATTTTATATGTAAAGTTCAAATGAATAAACATAGAGAAAGCCAGCTGTCAAAAATTTAAGGGTTGGAAAAAGTGGTACAAAGGACCTGAAACCAGCTGGAATCCCTTCAGTATAATGCCATTCGGCCAAATCAACAATAAAAAGTAGGTGTAAGTACACTGTGGAAAAAGTTATAAGCAAATAACGAAAATTTATTTTCGTGAATTTTGTAAGTCGATAGGGATCTCGACTTGCCTGCAGTAGGCTGGAGTGGCGGACCTATCCTGACCCACTCTGATTTCCTGGCCGTCGTGCATTTCTTTTATAGAAGAAAAAGTAGGTCAACCGTAACGGTTTCCAACCGTCACCGATTGCCTATCCAGCACGACGACCAATGCCCAATTTTCTGTATTATCATTGGCTGCAACTGCATTTCCACCAATGATAATAGCGAAAATGAGCAACAGAATCCTGAATTATGATTGGCTGCAATTACTGTTGCCATTTGACCAATCACAATTCAGGATGCTGGGCGACAATCCAATATGCTGTTTCTTTGGTTGGATCGGTAACCAGCATTCTAATATTAAAACTATGAAGTAAATTTGTAATGGTAATAACATGACTGTGTGATGAATCCAGATAATCGATATTAAAGTCACCTGTCAAGATAATAAAAGCATTTTGTGGAATTTTTTTAAGCAAGAATTCCAACCTTTTAAAGAATAACTGAATAACAGACTTAGAAGGTCTGTACACAACAATAAGAAAAGTAGTAAGCTTCTTACTGAAAGCAATAGTTAAATTCAGATTCAATGCATAGGTGGTTAAATTTATTGTAGTCAACAAAATTGAATTTATACTGAAACGTTGTATTAATTAAAATTAATGTGCCTCCATGGATGCCGTCATATCTACAAAATTTGGATATTATGGAGTAATTGTTAATACAAAGTGTTTCCAGAGCATACAACCAGTGCTTAGTTAAAAGCACAAAAACGTACAAGTGTAGTTGAAAAAAAGTTTTAAATGTTTTAGATCGTTTGTTGTGTCAAAGTTTAAATCCATTTTTTTTTAAGCATATTGCAAGTGCTTCACATTTATTGCCAAAACTCAAAACTAAAATTTCATGCTATCGGTTTTAAAGGTTGGGCTCTGGTTATCGGAACTTCGTAGTGACCAGTCAATGAAAGGCATAGAATGTATTGATCTTGTGAAAATCGTAAAAAATGGCAAAAATCGCGCAACGTTTATTTATTTAACATCTGTATAAAATCTGAGTTTATTTGCATTTAAAATGCATCTTGATTTTTGTCGATAGATCACTTAAATCAAAAGATATCGAATTTTTGAGAACGGTTCATTCTACACAAAAATGCTTATAAACATTTTTATTTAAAATTATCTCAGCAAAATGTTTTATTTGAAACATTTTTTTCTACATTGTACAAATTCTTGCTAAATTGATTTTTTTGCATTATTAACCCCCTACGAGGGTGTTTTAGGGGGAAGGCCGTGGGTCTTCTTCTTGTAGTGACTATCCGTTACGAATGTTGACTACTAGCATGGTAATTCTAACTTTATTGACCACTGCTCGAAATAGTCCTGAATTTGTCAAGGAAAAGAATGTGTTTGACATGTTTTGAGATCCCCAACCAAATTTCAAATAAAGCTGAAAAGAATGTGACAATACGATGCTCTTCGCATCTTTTTGCATTAGGTTTTTTAGGTATAGCAATAAATGTAGATATTAACCAGCTCTCTGGTATTTTTCCCGAGTCATAGATTTTATTGAACGTTGTCGTAAGCCATTTTACTTCTTCGTCTCCCATCTTCTTCTTTTTCTTGATGTGCCTATCCGTTACGAATGTTGGCGATCATCATGACAATCTTTATCTTATCTGCAGCATCGCGGAAAATCTGGACAGATGTTGTACTGAACCAGATTCTGAGGTTCTTTAACCAAGATGGTCTTCTTCTTCCTGGACCTCGCTTTCCAAATATTTTTCCTTGCGGGATGGCTTGAAGGAGAGCATATCTGGATTGATTTCGCATATGTCCGAAGAATTGTAACTTTCGAGATTTAATGGTGGTCAGTACCTCTCGGTTCTTATTCATTCTTCTGAAGACCTCCTCATTTGTGACTCGGTCAGTCCACGGGATCTTAAGTATTCTCCGATATAGCCACATCTCAAATGCTTCCAGTTTTCTGCACATATCTTTGTTCAAGGTCCACGATTCAACACCATAAAAAAGGACAGAGAAGACGTAGCATCGCAGCATTCTTACTTTTGTATCAAGAGAGAGGTTGTGACTCTTGAAGAAGGCCACCATCCGATTGAAGGTGGATATATCTTTTGCGATGCGTGCTTTAATCTCCTGGTTGTTGGTCCATTCTTCATTTATTATGGTGCCGAGGTAGTTGTAGTGCGTCACTCTTTCTACAGGAGATTGGTTGACGTAGAGTTGACCTTCTGTTATCCTTTTCTTGCTAATTATCGTAAGTTTTGTCTTCTTAACGTTTATATTGAGTCCATATTGTTGACTGTAATACGTGATTTTCTTCATAAGAACTTGTAGGTCTTCTAAGTTGCCCGCAAATACTATGGTGTCACCTGCATATCTGATGTTGTTTAGCCGGTAACCATTTAGTAGAACACCTTTTTCAGTTTCGTGCAAAGCTTCAAAAAATATTTTTTCAGAGTACAGATTGAAGATTAGAGGAGACAAAATACAGCCTTGCCTCACTCTACGCATGATTTTCACATCGTCAGTGTGTTCACCTTCAACTCTGAGATTTGCTGTCTGAATTCCAGTTAAGATTTCTAATAATTTTCAGATCTGGGTTGTTAATTCCTGCTTGTTTTAGTATTTGCATCATCTTGGCGTGCTGTACTCGATCAAACGTTTTCTCATAATCAACCAGACATGCGTATACGTCGCAGTTGACGTCTCTGCATCTCTGGAATAAGACTTGTACTGAGAACAATGCCTCTCTAGTACCAACAACATTTGTGAACCCGAACTGGTTGGAGGAAATTTGACTTTCACAGAGCTTGTAGATTCTCTTATGAATTATCTTTAGGAACAATTTTAGGAGATGGCTCATGAGGCTTATAGTACGGTAATCTTCACATTTTTTGGCGCCCGGTTTTTTTTTGGAACTGCAATAAACTCAGATTTCAGCCATTCTGTTGGTATTTCTTCAGAGTTATATATGTTGTCGTCTCTCATGATTTTTAGAAATTCTGAATGAAAGTTGTCGGGCCCTAGAGATTTACCTGCTTTGGTTGCTTTAATTGCGGCTTTGACTTCGTCTTAAGTGATTGGTGGTCCTGTGTCGTATTCCATAATTATCGGGTTGTTGTCTCTGTCGTCATTGAATGTCTTCTCAACGTATCTCTTCCATATATTCTGTGTTTATTCAATGTCAATTACCGGGTAGCGATGATCATGAGTCATATGTCCTGATCTCTTGGGTTTGTACATTTCTGCTGCCTCTTTTACCTTCTTGTGGAGATTAAACGAGTCGTGTCTACTTTCCAATGATTCTCTTTCTCTGCATTGATCTTCCAACCATATTGTTTTTGGTTTCTCTAATAGTTTTTCTTATTTATTTATCAATTCGTTTATACTCCCACATGTCTCTGTTTTTAGCTCTTCTTCTATTCTCCATCATATTTAGGATTTTATCAGTAATCCACTCTTTCTTTTTAACCGTTGTTGGGCGAAGATATTTATCTAGGATTGTCTGGTTAATTTGTTGTAGTTTTGCCATTTTATTATCTGGTTCATTAGCTTTGTCTGTATTTTTTAATTCTTTTTCTATATAGGTTTGTATCTGGTGCCTGGTGTCTTCATTTTTTAATGGTCCTAAATCGGATTATCTTACTTTTGCACTCTCTTTCTTCTTCAGCTTTAGTCTTATGTTAACTACCAGTGGGTTATGGTCCGACCCGATATTAGCACCAGGATATGTTTTGGCTGATGTTATTAAGTTTCTGAATCTTTTATTCGCCATAATGTAATCAATTTGGTTTCTGATGATGTGATCTGAGGTGTCTTGAGGTGATCTCCACGTATATAATCTCCTAGCTGGTAGTTTAAAGAAAGTGTTGGTGATTATCAGTTGTTCTTCCACAGCGAAGGTGATCAGGCGATCTCCACATTCGTTTTGTTCCCCCAGTCCAAAGGGTCCTACGCTTTCTCCACCTTCTACCTCTTTTCCATTTTGGCGCATAAGTCTACTATAAACATTTTTATTTCGTTTTTGTGAAGTTTTTTCAGAACATTCATTAGTTCCGAATAGAAAGTTTCGATCTCTTCGTCTGATTTGTCTGCAGTAGGTGCGTATACTTGGATTATGTTGGTCTTAACAGGGAAGGTGTTAAACTCAATAAGGAGTATTCTCTCTGAGATTCTTATTCACTATTATACCAACTCCGTTAATATGTGGGTCTTCGCTATTTCCGGAGTAATAAATCTGGTGGTCATGTACTGTACTCTGTCCATTTCACTTACACTTATTATATCGATAGCAAGTCTATCCATTTCCTTAATGGCATTATGTGTCTTGTCCTCCTCGTACATTGTTCTCGCATTCCAAGTAGCGATCGTAATTCTTGATCTGTGGAGTTTTAAAGAACATTTTCTCTGGTTGACCACTTGGGGAGCCCTGTTATCCTTGTTATATCTCCCCCTACTGGACCTTGGTATCCGAGAACCATGGTCAGTAAACTGTGACATATTATCAATTATTCAATTACGTTCAATTTTGTAGCATTCAACAAAATCGTACTGTGGCGTTGGAACGTGAGTGGGCGTCTTTATGCTTTCTATTTCATTTGATATTACTTTTAGTTTTGTAATCTACTATAAATTCCGATATTGATACATATTTTTGTTTATTTGAAATTTTATTTATTTGACAGATGTGTCCCAAATATAAACAACCATTTAATTTGATCTAATATTAAAAAAAAAAATTTTTTCAGATAAGAAAAATATTATCGGGTAAATTATTTCCTATGAAAGCTCTCGGATATTTTGCTGTTGTTACAGGAAGAGGGCGAAAAGATGATTCTATACAGACAATTAAAAATTATGAGGAAGATTTTTTCAGGGGTTCAAAATTATTTAAGTAAGTATTAATAAAGAATCTTTTTTATTTAAGTGTCTTCACGAAAATAACTTTAAAACCTCCAACAGATGGCGCCATGGTTAGTACCGCATTTTTAATATACGAATTTCGGTTAATGAGATTAAATATTAAATTTAAGACTGGCAACACCTGTTGAGATGGTTATTGGTCTATATGGTTATTGGAGTTTCTTATGATCACCTTTTTTACTCTAAACTAAAAGCGTCTAGAGCTCGCTGGTTCAACTTTATACTAATAAAGCAGCGTCCACCCGGGTGGATTATATTTTCTTACTGACTACTGTTCTGACTACATTCAAATTATAATTGTAATGCCTGCCAGAGAGTTAGAGGGGACAAATGCGAAATCTCTATTAGTTAGGTGAAACCACCTTTTTTGAATGTTTTCTACCCGGAATTTCCTGACTACAAGTTTTCGGTGGGTAAAACCATATTTCGAAGGTAAAAATTATTTTACTACCAGAGGCGTAACAACATTTCCTTTCTAAAGTTTCTAATGTACTTTAGAAAGGAACTACAACGTTAGGGTTTTTTTTTATTTCATATTGTTAATGTACCCCAAATATGAAAAAATCGCTGGTAGTGCTACCATTTAAAGAGGTGGGTTTTTGAGAAAGGAGTGAATTTGTCCATATCCGCAGAGTACATTTTGGTGAATTATTTTTAGTATTCGTACATATCCATCTACAGACACGTTCAAAATTAAATTTCCTATCGAGATGTCACCTTTTAAAATTAAAAATAATTTTTTTCATAACCGTTTACAGTATCCGTTATTCGATGTTTCACAGTTCGCCACACACCATTTTTGGAACATTTTTCCTAATTTTTCGCAAAAATTGTTCTATGCAATGGTACACTAAATAGAAAGAAAAAATAGTTACCTTAATTAAAATGGTCTACTGTAGAAGACTCTAGAACTACTTTTAAGCAATATACGATTCGTCAAAGATTTCTACTTTTAACGATTTTTGCTATTTACTGCAAAATGCAAAAATTTTTTACGAAAATTTAAAACCCATTTAATTTTTCTGTCGATGGGACACTTCGATCAAAAGCTATCGATTTTTTACCGCCGAGTTGATACAAATTTTATGAAAACAATTGATTTCGCCGATTTAAAATCGCGAGTTGTTTCTGAGAGAACGGTTCGTTCTAAAGAAAAAGTGCTAATACACATTTTTGTTTAACGTTATCTCAGCTACATTACTTGATTGAAAATTTGTTTCTATGTCGCACACATTCTTGCTAAGTCGATGGTTTCCCTTTCTCCTCCTCCGAGGGGTGGTTTTAGAGTGAAGCTCGGGATATAAGTGGCATACTTTTTTGCATCATTTTTGGGGCCAAAATTGACATCCTCGGCAAAATTCAGCTTTTTCGTATGAGTTTTAGACGTTCAGTGGCATTTTCGTCTGCGACTGCGACTGGAGTATTTTTTCCTTGTGTATTTAGGAGTCCTGATAATCCGAAATAATTGGGACCGAGCCCGAACCGAATTTTTCGGATTAAACACTTTCTTAAAACTTAATCTTAATAAGTCTTAATAAAAAATAACATAAATAATATGCCTATCATTAAGTGCAGTACTTTCGTTTTGGACACAATAAGAGCCTATGATAATGAGATGGAAACCTATGATAATATGAACCCTTTAATAGAAGAATACATTCATCTGAGACGTACGATCGAACACCGTTTCTCAAGACAAAAAGTTGAGAGTCAATAGCGGAAATTGATCCCGTGCCAAAATTCTCGTTCGTATTACGGACGCATAGACGAGTTTAAACTTTACTCTGTTGCTGACGTACTGCGCCAATCGGACGAGATTCCGTAACCGAAATATCAGACCCAGTCCAATTTCTACTGCCAGTGTCTCAACAATTTGAACTCGGTGTGATTACACATCTTAGTTTTGTTGTTTCGATACCTTACCGCTGCGTTGAAAGGTTTTGTTATGAACCTATTTTATTTGTGCTATTTATACTATAATATTATTTTATTCACAATTCGTGCACCTTGAGGAAAGATTTAAGATGTTGAAGCGTTTGGACAATGACGGGAGTTGGTCTAAATTAGCATTTAAGTAAGGAGTTAGAAACTCCACGATCACTGATTGGAAAAGAAATCGATCAAAAATAGAACAGTTTTGTACAACTTTTAAGTAAGTGTAGAGAATCTCGACAAACTGCCAAAACTACTCAATTAGAAAAGCTCAACAAAGCTTTGTTTTTGTGGTTTTCTCAAGAGAGGGAAAAGAGAACCCTGATTAATGGGCCCCTTAATAAGGGGACAGTCTCATGCTATTAAAAAAAAAGACACTTTTAAAATTAAAGTAGAAAAAAAAAACTATAATATTTATTAACATAATTTTTTTTTTGGAGATGATTAAGGCTTGAAGTACATAAAAAAAATTTTTAATAGCGATTTTAACTTCATTGCTGTCCTGTAGATGGCGTGTAGTAAAAAGTGCGTTTTTGGTGGTAAGACACTTTGTGAGTCACCTGTAACAGATATTCAAAAAATTCAAAATGGGTTGTATTCGTGAGACTCAAAACTAGATGATAAACCTCTAAAATATGCAAATATGCAAATATTAAAGGTTTATCATCTAGTATTTTGTATACAGTGATGAGTGCTTTACCATCTGGCTTTTTAACGTAAGAGATAGAAAACACAATTACCTTGTGAAATAAAAAGAGATAAAACTCGTAGAGGTGGGAAATAATCGATAAAAACCTATAATTTACATTACATTGCATTACCACCATCGACAGGCTCACACCTTTAGACGTTAGACGTGGCTATTTGACTTCAGTCATAATTATACGGATACCCTCAAAAATATTTTATATTAATAATTTCTTTTTTTTTTTTCATCCTTTATTTATTGAAATCTGTTTCTACAAATAAAAAAAAAACAATAATCAATATGTTTATCAAGTAATTAACATAGGGGAGAGCTGTCCAGTGACAGAAATCCTTAAGATAAATTTCTAATATATATAAATATTTGAAATATAAATAACAATTTACAAAGACATTTTACTAACATATTAAAAAAAAATAGTAATAGTTAAAATTATAACAACACACACAATTATAAGTTGTAGGTATAATATATAGTATCAGTTGTAGCTATAAAATGATATAAACGTTTATGTATATAAAGGTATAGAGAGGTCTAGAGGATCACGTCGTTTTAGTCTTCCTCTCCTTGGTCGCTTAAGTAGGTCTTGGGCAAGTGTATTTGGATGGTTTAGTAGTCTATTTTTGTAAGTGCCACTGAGTGAGACAACGGTGTCTTTAATATTTTGGATCTGAAGATCTCGGTGTATAACATAATTGGGCACGTACCACGGTGCATTGGTAATATGTCTCAAAACTTTAGATTGGAAACGTTGAAGTTTCAGTAAGTGAGAATTAGATGCTGTACCCCATATCTGTATACCGTAGGTCCAAACTGGCTTTAGAACACATTTATATAGTAATAATTTATTATGTAGACTTAGTTTGGATTTTTTATTCATGAACCAATACATTTTCCTGTATATTAATCCTAGTTGCAGTCGCTTTGTCCAGATGTGCTTTCCCCAATTTAGTCGGCTGTCAAAATGTATTCCCAAGTATTTAACATCACTTTTTTTTGGGTATTATGGTATTGTTTATGCACACAGATGGTACACTCTCTTTGCGTAAAGTAAATGTTATATGTGCTGATTTGCTGCCATTTACTTTAATTCGCCACAATTTTAACCATTTCTCTAGTTCATTTAAATGAATTTGTAAATTTTGACAGGCTGTAACAGGAACCGAGCTAGAAACCATTATCACAGTATCATCTGCATAGGTAGCGATTGTGCTGTTTACTCTTGTGGGAATATCTGCCGTATAGAGTAAGTATAAAGTTGGTCCCAATATACTACCCTGAGGTACTCCCGATAGAATTGGAGATATGTTTGATACTGCTTCATTGCATCTGACCTGGAAATATCGATTGGTAAGATAGGATCTCAGAAGAGCATACAGAGGATGAGGAAAGTGAGTTTTTATTTTAGATAGCAGCCCCTCATGCCATACTTTATCAAATGCTTGTGAGACATCCAAAAAGGCTGCAGTGCAGTATTCTTTCTTTTCAATCGCATCTATTGCTACTTTGGCAACTCTATGTACCTGCTCAATTGTTCCATGTTGTTGCCTGAATCCAAACTGATAATCAGGTATTAACTTTTGTCTGTCGATTATAGAATTCATTTTCTGAAGGAGTATCCTCTCAAATATCTTAGAGATAATGGGAAGCAAACTGATTGGACGATAGGATGATAGTTCTTGTAGATCTTTATTTGGTTTCGGTATTAGAATAATTTGTGCCATTTTCCATTGAAACGGAAAATAGCCTAACTTTAGTATAGCGTTAAATATGTACATAAGCAACCGAAATCCTTCTTCGGGTAAATTTTTGCAGATTTTTCCCGATATTAAATCATACCCTGGAGCTTTTTTAGTATTGAGATGTTTAACTAACTCTTTTATTTCGTTAATTTTGATATTTTCTATAGGAGGTGACATCTGGTAGGGTCCATCTAAGTTCTTGTGAATGAATTCTTCTTCTTCCTTTGAGATAGTTCTGGAGTGTGGTTGAAAAACTTGGCTGAGATGATTAGCGAATGCTTGTACTTTATCTTCATCGGCCTTAGCCCAATCACCGTCTTTATTTCTAATGGAACCGTCATGCTTAATCTGATGTTTAAGTTTCTTAGAGAGTTTCCAAATAGAGTAGTTTGTGTCATCTGTCGCAGTAAGACTTTCAAGAAATTCATTTATGCCCTGATCAATGTATTTGTGTAATTCTCTTTTAAGCAAACGAGTAGCCCTATTCAGTTCAGTTTTGTTCTCAGGAGATCTGGAAGTTTGCCACTGTTTTCTTAGTTTTCTCTTTTCGTTGATTAAGATTTTTATGTGATGTGGATATGGTTCACAGTT